ATTTCGGGGGCCGTATAGGAATTGGGTTTCCTCAAGTTCAACGACTGGTTTCCCACGACCCTGGCCATTTCTACAGAGACTAGCGACCGTTGTAGAAGATGTAGAACAGTGAAGATAACTCACCGTGGTCGGCCTTCGCGTTCGCATTCTTATAAAATTTGGAAGACCCTTCTTACATGGGTGCTCCCTCAATATTACCCCACTTCCCCAACCCCGATCTCCACCCTCACTTTCTGTAGTATTTGATTCTGAGACCATTCGGCACAGCCCAATCCACCCATTTCCTCTAAAACGACGAGCAAGGGGGGGGGGGTAAATATGACTAAAGAAGCGTGTAAAGCGGCTAAATGGCTAATCTTCCGATTTTTGCCTCTTCATTAACTTGCCCAAATGCGACGCCCCTCGAATAGTGCGGAACGATTGACCCTGGAACTCCTGTAACAGCTCGGAGTTCGATCCACTGATTCCATGATGATAGGGTTTGCTTTCTGGATCCAGTCTGACGGACCACATGGGCTGGTAAGGTTCCGCCTTCTCACCCTCTCCCTTTATCTACTGAAGAAGTTGTTCATAACTTCATTCATAATAACAATTGGTGTAATCCACAACTAACTTATGTCACTATAAGTGCGCCCGGAAACGTGTGGGTTCAGACATTTGTTGAGCGAATAAGGGGATGACTAACCTTGACTACGTCGTGAGCTGTGTTGAGATGGCGTTGCTGAACGGACGTCAATCCGTGGAATGGTCAGAGGTTGGATTGGCTTCAAAAGGTGTGAGTGGCGGTGATCACCAACTGGACTCACTGGACGAACTGGAGTCACCGGACGGATAGGATCCGCAGGCTGAAACATTTCTTTATTAGGATGCTTCTGGGACTTATCCTAAGCGATTCATGAAAATGGCATGAGTAATAGCATGTGGAAGGTCCAGTTCGGAATGCATCAGACGGCTCCAGGTAAAGGAAGATTTCACGATAAGGTTGGACTTCGAACATAGCCAGTCTAGGGGCAGGCAGGTCCACGGTGGTACGATGGGTGTTTCGCAGCGAAAGGCATGCCCCCAGCGACCTAGCAGGGCCTTACCTGCCCGCCCACCCCCTAGCCGTCTGACTCTAGCCGTTTAGCAGAGAGAGCGCTAGTGCTGAAGAGGGCAGCACCGATGAGAGTCGCATCAATGCGGAAATCAACGGGCAAGGAGAGGATTTCCATACCTGCACCGAAGACCACCTCTTCCTCGGATTCTACATACGCTTTTCGTCTAAAACAGGTCCTCCTTCTAACGTGACGCGTACGGATCTAGGAAGGAAGAGAGGGCACATTCCCCTGAACTTCGGCGCCAAAGTTCGCGTCCTGCCAACCCTGAATGGGGTGGAAGATCGAGGGACCACTGCGAGAGGATGACTCTCGACGACGAGCCTAATCCTCAACAAGGTGAAGAAATGGTAGTAAGTGCTGGCAGAGGGTATGGTTTAAAGTGAGGAAGGCCACAGATGACCATGGACAGCCACGGGGGCAGCGTACAAGGTTGGAGGAATTCCAATAGATTAGAAGCGAGTCTAGCCACAACTGAAGGTAAAAGCCGTAAATCGCGCAGTGTAGAGGGATCGAATCAATCGGGCAAAATAAAAAATAAAAAAAATGTAAAAATCAGCACAGGACCAAAGACAAAGAATGCGAAAAATCAAAATGAGTGCAGAGATCATGCAACACTGGTAACCTTCCGAGTCGAGCTGTGTTCCTACACGTCAGTGGTCAGGCTGTATCGAAGAACAGGCACCATTAATCAGGAACAACTTTCACCTTGGTCGATTTCAACATTTTTGGCCGACTCTCTCGGAGGAGTTCCTCCCTCCTCCTCCTTCCCCGCTCCTCCCCTACTCCCCACTAAATTGTGTAGCCAAACTGTATTCCAGTTACGCTACGATGTCCAAAAGAAGGAACGCACGTGGTGTACCCCAGAAAAAGATGGATTAATGAGGAATTTGTCATGGTTCTCAATACATCTAGAGCATGTTGCTCTTATCCGCCTCCATTCTTTCGCCTGAACCTCACCGCTCGCGGAGCTCCATTAAATTAATGGCGAGTTTACGATGAAAAGGCGGGCCATCCAAAATTGGCGTAGAGGTGATCAGTGTTGCACAGAACAAGAGAAAAAAAAGAGAACTATCCTATAACCCGATAAATGCTACCTCTTCACGCCGCTGATTTGTGCTTTAGGCGTGTCTCATCAGGGCTGACCACAAACGCCAATACACCCTCTGGATCGGCTGTTCGTCTCTCATTATACTAAGTATGTTCCCCCTCTTCGCCCTCCGACCTTATCGTGGAATCCTCCTTGATAAATGGGGTTGTGGCACTAGTATAGAGATTTCAGCTCACACCCGCCCATCTGGTCCCGCTCCACCCAATCCCGCACATGCTTTTGGTCGAGCACCGCCTACCCGCACATGACTCGAAAGCAGTTCATGCATCACCTAAATCTAGGTAGCAAACGAACATGCAGACGACAAAAAAGGTTGTAAACAAACAAACACATCAAACTTCCGGATTATGTGTTAATGATGCCATGGTGATACTTTTTGGTAGCATTTCTTAGTGGATCGCTAAACACTACCTGACTTGGCCTATGAGGGCAGATTCACTTAACGATGATAGCGCTTCTGCATAGAACTGACAATGAGACAAGTTTTATTGGAGACAGAGGTCATGAGCGAATCATGGCAAAATTAACAAGATCGGCAATATCGATCACCCGTGGATTGGGTTGTTCCAGGTGAATGGGAGCAAATATTTGCTCAGTTCCTTGCTTCAGGGGTTTATCTGATGTGGAATGCACGTAAACTAGGCGGCACACGTGAAAACACATCTGTTGGAGGCAAACCAGGCAAATTCGAGAAGTTTCAAGAATTAAAAAATCAATAAAAAAGCACCCACGGCGTTGCTTAGTTCCCTATGTGACTCACATCACAGCAGAGTAAATCCAGGAAACCTCAGAGAGGGAAAAGAGAATCGATGATCTAGTTTTGAGAAAAAAATCTTACATTCTTTTCGATTTTCACGACCAATTCGCCATTTTCATCTCGGCCAAAAGTCCGCCGTTCGGTGTGTTCCTGGCTGGAGTACTGTCGTTGAGGCTGAAACTATTAGCATTCAGTAGAATAATTTGAACAGGACCAATTCAGGATGGATTTTGAGAGGATAAACTTGGACATATTCAAGACTTAAGCCTTTGTGGGTTTTGACTGCCAACCACGCAATCCACGATTTCGTCCACGACGATCGTACCAGCAGTACTAGCAAATCGTCAAGGGCAAGGTTGAGATGCAGCTTCATTGTCAGAACTCGAACTACCCAGGAACAGGGTTGCAATGCTAGTCGAATGAGCATGTCAATACAGTATAACATCCGTAAGGTGACTATTCAAAATCTCTAATAAGCCAAAATTTTTCTGGGGAAGTTTAGAGGTAAGCACAACCCTCTCGTGGCTGGTACATATACCACTCCATTCAGTAATTCCAGTGCTGGTCTCGGCTAAAAAATCTACGATGCGACTTCTATCAGGTCAGACTCCGGTAAAACACAAAAACTACCCGTCGTTGTGAATCTTACACGACTGACCCCACCCGGCTGGAAAAGCACTGACGGCCCAGCCACCGCAGTCCAGCTTGGGTGCTTAGGGCGGTCTCAATCCCAGGCACAGCCAGGGTCGGTTCTATCGTCGGGACTTTTTCCAAAATTTTTACGACCCCCCTCCTTCACAAAAGCTTCCAGATATATGCACGCTGAAACGGCAAATTTCTCCCGCGCTTTTTTACCTCATTCCATGTACTTTCGTCCTAAAGTCGTTCGTCGAAACAAGTACGACCCCCCACCACAAACTTCAACAAACTACGACCCCCCCCCCCGTTGGTACTTGTATCAACGTAGTGTTGACCCTGGGCACGGCATTGTGTGACCAGTCTCTACTACACGACAGAAAAAATTGATATTGTTACCATACTTCACTGTACGGAGTGCCACCAATACGTCGTTCGAAGGTTTCGATCGTATGTGCTTCTTCGGATCCGATCTCCTTCAAAAACCGAATCATATGGTATCGAACAAAATGTCAAAAATAATGTGATTACCTCGAACCGTCCTCCTTCATAGGGTCGCAGCGCCATTAGCGTGAAGGCAATTCGATGACGATATGACGAGGTCGGAGTTCGAGGGAAACAGGGGGTTGACGAAAAATTTGTGCAAACCCTTCATCTGCACCCTCCACTTTTGCGAACACTCTGCTTTATTCTCTTTTTCCTGAGTTCTCCTTCGTTTTCTCTTTCTCTCCCACTCTTTGTTTGCTTACGAATCGTCTGTGAGAACAAACAGTCATGACGGTGTTTGGCTGGGCAGGATATAGTTATTTGAACACAACACAGAATTCATGATTTACCAGCTTTTTGCTTGTTTTAAGAACATACACGACATAAAAGAAAGTGGATTACAATTATTAACACGTTGACGACATTGTGCAGCGCATGCGCATCACACCTTGAGCACCGTGTGGGACCGTGTGCAGCGCATGCGCTGCACACAATTTTTTTTCGCGCATGCGCTACTTCTTTTCTAATTTTTTGCATCCATTTTGTAGATCAATCACAACATGGCCATGAACGGTGTAGTTGACCAAATGGATGAATATTCTACACTTTAGAAAGGATTCTCCAACTCCTATCCACAAGTTCTTTACTTCGGCTCATTCCTCGTTTTCTTTATATTCCTTTTACACGAATATAAAAAGATTAGTAGAAGTAGGTACAGACCTATACGTTCGGTATGATATTCGTTCCTAGCACTAAAAAATAATTTGAGGTCCACGTCAGCAACCAGATGTCTTCATAGCCATAACACGTCATTTCGACCGAACTTTTACAATTGTACCTTCCAAAAGTTCAACACATCGAATATCATTGAAAACATTTTGTCGCATCCAAGTTTTGCGTATTTACAAGCTCAAAATCCACGGATTTGATGTGAGGCGGTTGCAAAATCGCTTTGGTCCCACGCGGCGAAAAATCCCAAAGCCCGCTTATGTATGACTTTCAGTCCTTGGCAAAACTTTGAAGGGGAATTGACGACTGCTTCGGAGGGTGAGGATGTCCTGTGGGAAGTTGCTGGTTCGACCTCCATAAAAGCAAACAGTTCTTTCACTGGTGCCAGTCGCTACAATCGCGAAGCCGCCCTTGAGACAATTTTTCCACACTAGTGCCTTCTCTGAAAACCTGGACCGCCTGAGAAACTGGGTGAATTCACGACGGAACGACAACTTAATTCGGCAGGGTATACTAAATCAATGCCTCAATTTAACTTGTTTAAACCAGGGACAGGATGGTTGGAAACTATACATGCGGAGCGCCATCCAGCAGCCCATATGCGAGGTAGCTGGCGTACTGTGTTGTACTGTGTTATCTTTAAGAGTTGCATCTTACATCCAACACCGTTTGACGGCGCAAATTCGCGGCCGGATACACTCTGTTTGCTACTCCCAATAAATAATATTATAAGCAGCTCATGATTTGCATGACAATGAAACTGAAGCAGGATAGTCTTGACTGGATACAGTACCGTTATTATGAGGAACGATTTCGCCTCCGCCGCGCAGCCCCATTGAAAGTCTCTCGGCACGAAGCTATTCAGCCCTTTTCGAATGAGTTGGTAAGGCTTGATCTCATGCCAAAATATATCGGATTTGCTCATTACGGGCGTGGCGCTCACTTTCTTGTTCGGCGGGTAATAAAATGGAGCTTTGTTCTTGAATAAACTTTCCTCTGCAAAAAAAAGCTGCTTCGCAAAGTCGACATTTGTTTGGGAACCTTTTGACCATAACAGAGCAATCACACATAGTTACATAAAAAATAAATACTCACAGCAATAAAGGAATATAGAGACATGTGCTTTGTTCAGTGATGTCAGATCGATCGTTTACCTTTCCACAGTTGGTGACTCTGGTCTGCAATTGAAAGGCTCATGTCAGCTTTGGACGCTTGAATGAAGAGGAGACGTGTTTCATCCAGGAAGGAGGGAATCATGTGGTACAAAAGTTCGTATCGTCTACAGCAATCCACGTGGGAAATCCGTGAGCCAGGGGGAGTGTAGGCAGTCTAGGGGGTGGGGGGTGAGGGCAGTCACTTGACATGCGTGAAAAGCTGGAATGTTCGAGTTTACACTGTCTCGCTCGAGAGAGCGCCAGGTGAGCAGACTGCCGCGCCGCCGCGTGGTCCCCCCAACCCTCTTAGCACCGGAAACTCTATGTTAACACATTGACGACAACGCGGGGGATATATATCCCGCGCATTGCAGGCCATGTCGGACCGTGCGGGATATATATCCCCCGCACCCATTACACTCATTTTTTTCGCGCACGCCTGATTCTTTCAGAAATTTTCTTGTATTGTTCCATGGAAGAGACATTGATGTATGTAGTCTTCGAGGACCTTTTACTATGCAAATATGTCGATGCTATAGGTTCTCAAAATTACCTGACGGCTATAAAAAGGCACTTCCGGAACAATTCATTCTTCACTCCTTTTTCGGCATTGGGAGGGCCGCTCAGAAAAAATGGACCGCATTTCTGTGCTCTTTGCATGCCCCTCTATAACATAAGAAACCGTTTTGGATAATCGTTCCATGTCCTGAATGGCCTTCCTGGTTAGTGCCGTTTCCTCGCGTTTTTGAGTTGCGACAGTGTCGCACCACTCTCTTTCTTGGGACCACTCTCTTTCTAGGGAGGACTGGCTCTCTTGAAACCTAATTCCGACACGTGGCTTCAACCACGAGACGCACGGGCCTAATCTAGTGCGCCAACCCCATCTATTCTCATTGAGCTCAAAAGATCCTGACAAAGTAACTAACGAGGGGCAGCCTTTCGAGCAAAATGTAAAAATGCTCGAAAACTGGCATTGTGACTCATTTTGGGCAATTTCGATTTACGGATTGAAAGGAACACAACGAATTCTCGTGCTTACTCGTACATGCTTTGACTTTTTAGACATAGTAGACTTCTCTTTTTCTTTCTTTACTTGTTCCATAATGAGGGACTTTCTTAAACAGCTTCTCCTTGACAACATTTAACATCAATTCATCCAACGCTTTGGAAAACAGCTTCCGCTGCCTAAATGTGAGAGAATCACTACAAATCACCATAAACCAGCTTCAACGAGAGAAAGAATCGCGAAATGGCTGCGCCGACGTGCGAATGAGCCAACAAACAAACCCTTTCAGAAAATTTCCAAGAAAGCTCAACCTCTACTATTGCGATAATTCCTCTCAACAGTTTTCTAGATACAGGGCCCCGCCCCACCTTTCTTTTTCCATGTTTTCCCTGTATTCTCTTTGATGAATTTGAGCAGATATTCACTGACTAGTTTTCCTTTGCTGTCTTTAGCGTCGCCTCCTATAAAAGCGAACGAACAGAAGAACGCGCTCGAACAAACAGAACGAAACTACACCCACAGCGCTAAAAGCCTTCCGCCTTAACGTATGGCTCAGATTACTTTTTGGAAGGATGGGCATCCGATAAAAGTCATTTATCTCGCGCTGTTGAAGGAACCCTTCGTGGAAAATTCCTGCATCTTTCTGAACATGAATCTATCAGTTGTGATCACTGGAGAGCACACAGAGTTTCCCGCATAAATATTCGGTTTCCGACGAGGAACAAACTTACAAAACTACACCTCTTATGAGACAATCTATATAAGCAATCTTTAAATTACAATGTTAAGGGCGCGGAGCCGAAAACAGTGCGGAGTCATGGAAATGAGATCGCCTGGGACGAGCTACAATCCGGCTACCGCAAGTGAAAGATCGCTCACAATACGGTCCGGCAGTCTGGAGACGTAGAGGACTATACGGTCGAGAATAGATAAGGTGCAGAGTGACAAGTGTGAGATTGTGAATCACCGATGCATCAAAGCGGTCAGAAGAGCCGGACACGAGTCGAGTTTTGGTGGCGTTCGTTATACCGCATGGCGGGGCAGGCTGCTGGCGCAAAATACGCTGACGAAGAACAAAACATGTTAAAGGTTTGTAAAAGCCTAGCGCGTGCTGTCGAAAGCAGATACATACAAAACAGAGAGAGTGTCATGGAAACTCGTTACGCGCTATTGTTCAATAGCCCTCGTCTATATCGCGTTATGTGTTGTTTATACTAAGGTTATACTGCATCTCACCTCTTTGCATCAACTTCTTCAGCTGAATAACAACCGGGCGTTCATCTCCTTAAGGGGACATCGTCAACAGAAAAGTGACCGTAGTCTACGCCGGTGGAGGGAATTCGTCGCTGCCTTCACAGCTTTCCACATAACATGTGCTCTAAACATGGAACATGTCACAAAAAATGGGGCGAGGTGTGATGTTTGGGGCCTTACTACGGAAGGAACGCTCATCTTCGACCAAGGTTTTCATACAGTTCCTACAGAAGAGTCACCGTAGTCTACGCTGGTGAAGATAATTCCTCGCTATCTTCATAGCTTTCTGCAAAACATCTCCTCTGAAAATGGAAAATGTCACATAATAGGCCCACTATGCCTGCTGAGAACTGTTCAAAGATTCCACTTGATATACAGAGGATGGGATATTGAGAGCAGAGGGAACACGTAAAGCCAGTAAGCGCTTAAAAACGAAATGAAAATCTAAGAATTCGGAAAATAACATTCATCTAATCTCACAATGTAGTGGATTAGATTGAGTACGTGGCGCATCCTGGGGTATATCTGCCTTTCTGTGTGGCTCGTAAGCTCGCATCAAGCAGCTTAGATACCCGTACTACAGTCGAGCTACATTTTTTTCCTTTTGAGATCGAAAATTGAGTTGCGTGCGGCAATCCCGAATGTTGCGCAAAACTTTAGATTCTTATAGATCTCGACGAGCTGAGTTCAAGGCTGTTTTCAGATTTTGAAAATCTTAATTTTAAACCGATTTATAACGAAAAAACGAAAAAAACGCGAAATCGTCTTTGGCGCCAATTGGCGCCAAATGACACCAGCATCAAAAATGAATGTCATATTCGTAATCAGGGCATCGAATTACCCCAATAGGCAAAGTTTCGACGAAAAATGAAACTTTGAGATTTTGGGGCAGTAAGTGGATAGTGGCCCAATCGGCAATAGGGGAAGGCTGAAAACGG